CTTCTTGCTCTTTTTAGCTCGTTTATATTAAAATCTTTTTCTTAATGCTTTTTTAAGCTTTCGTTCGTTAGCGATAATCGCGGTCCGAGCAACGCTTTAAAAGATAATTGCAAAACGTAAGCTATATACGGAACGTATAGAATCTCTTAACTTATAAAAAGCTTTTTCTTAAACGCATTTTCAACGCATTTAAGCAACTTTTTTATTATTGTATTATTCGAAAATGCGTTATCCGTTGTAATCGCGATTATCTTTTTTATTAAGCTTAATTTAATAAAGCGTTCGTAAATAATTTTTATTAATTCTTTTCTTATATGATTAAACTCAACGTATATAAATCTAAGCATAAGCTAAATTATATGCTAATCTTTTGTAATTGTAGTTCCGATTATGCATATAAAAGAATAGCGCTTAATATTAGATTAATAGTTTAATGAAATACTAAGTTTTTAATTAGCTAGTAAATTGTTTAATAAATAACGATCAATTTTTGAAATCTTATCGTCGAGGTCTCGCTTAATAGTTGAAGCATTAAAGAGCTTAAGATGTAAGTTTTGTAATTCGCAAAGAGATTTTCAATCCGAGTTATTAATTATTCGAAACGAGCTTCGCGTAAATAATATAACATTTAAAACACTTTTTCGAAATGTTAATTTTAAGTCTTAATGCGAAAGCGTTCTTCGTAATAAATATATCTATTTGATATTAGTTTTATTATTTATTAATTAGATTTACTAATCCGATTTATTAATTAGATTTACTAATTAGATTTATTAATCAAATTTATTAATTAGATTTACTAATTAGATTTAATAATCAGATTTACTAATTAGATTTATTAATTAGATTTACTAATTAGATTTACTAATTAGATTTATTAATTAGATTTACTAGATTTATTAACCGAATTTATAAATAAAAACAAACGTACTAAATTGCGTTAAAGAGATTTAGATCTTAATTGAGTTTGCCGAAGCTTTTGTTTTGACTTACTTACGACGCGTTTGCAAACGTCCGTTTTCTAATAATCGGCTAATGCTTTCGTTTTAAAAGCCTTTAGCTTCGGATGCTTTAAAGCTCGATCGCACTTTTTATAGCATACTATAAGCTCTTTTATTGATTTTTTAGCTGCTTGAACGAATCTAATTTATATAAGAGAAGTTTTTTTTTATTCTAATCGATTCGCAAAGGATTTTAATTAGCCTCTTGTTATTAAGAATACTATAAAGTTTATAACTATCAAGTATTAAAAGTCTTAATCTCTTTAACGTTTTAAATATAATATTAATTAAAACATTTAATAATTGCTGATAATATTAAGCTAAAGAAACTAGTTGTAAAGCTTTCGAACTCTTAACTTTAAAATAAATCGGTATCTTCGTAAGTAATTAAAGTAATTTAAAATGAAAACGAATCAATAGCTTAAGAAGATATGTTTAAATTCTGGCGAATTTGCTATTAAACTGTTGATTTGAACTTATATATTAACGTCCTATATATTTAAATATTATATAACATCCTTTTATAATTTAAATATATTTTATTAAGTTAGTTTATTTTTAAAAAAAGTTTTGCTTACGCTTAATTCTTTTTAAGTAG